TATGGTTAAGCTTGACCTTGAAAAATTCCATTTTCAAATTCTTTCTTTCCATCTTATAAGGCGGTCCTTAATAGATAAACCATTATCCCGTACCATTTCACTGATCATTCTCTCATTATAGTTACTTTATGAAGAAAGCGAAATAGTTTCCTATTATCAACTAATCGAGCCGCCGTCTCCATTCTCAAGGCCATATCGCTCTAATAGTGATTTCGCTCCGTGGTGCAGTTATTGTAATTCTTTGAAGCCTCCGATAGTCAGGATCTCTTAATACTTGTACTTCAGCAGCCTTTTCAGACAGCTGAACAATTGCTTCCAATACCTGACTACACTCATACAATTGCTTCCAATAACGCACTTTCTAAAAGTAGAAATGGTTGATTTTCATATATTCATTCATTCATTCCTTCATTCCTTACATTCCTTTAGTTGAGACTAGTATTCATTCACAATCCCAGAGATGTCATTTATCATTTCAGTAAGATGCTTCAATTAATCAGTTTGAAACTCTCACTGACTCCGAATCTTTTAATTTGAGATATTTGAAAGACCTTGGAATTTACTGTTTCTTGCGAATTTTGCCAAAATTTTGGTTGATCTAACATAGTAAACATAGTAAAATAGTAAAATCCATGACTATAATACTCAGCGCCGCGACAGGAACGACTATCTAATGCTGAACTTAGCGACTTGACTAATCAATTTGGTTGTAGTATTGGTTATCCGGAGAATTCTATGCGATCTCTTCTCCAGCGCCGGAAACAAGTAACAAAGAGCTCAACAAAGCGAAAAAGACATTCTTCATTTGCACACTAGATCCTGATGCCATATTATTGAATTCATCATAGCGACACCATGGCTTACGCCTGCATTCCAGTCTCCCTCATTTCGGCCATTTTCGATAAGGATGTTGTTGTCCGCATAGAATCTTATCCTCATCTAGGCTTAAATTTATAATATATTAGTGACCGAAATATCACAGAATTTTCCTCTGAAGCGTGTATAGGCTAAGAAAGCTCTCTTTATTGGTGGACCGGACCCAGATGCTTTATTTACCAATTTTTTTTTAAAGAGTCCTCACTATTACTGATTAAACTCGCTCCGCTGGCTTTTCGCACTGGATAAATATACTCGTGAGTCCCTTGGCGATAGAAGTACAGATGAGTCGCCAGCATCATCCGGATTTTTGGACAGGTACTCAGAATTGAACAACAACCCACTGAGCCATTCTATCCCCTTATTTGCCAATTATCTATGAGGGAAAAGAATCTATGTTGAAGAATCAAGCATAATATTATATTATTTTATATTATTTATAATAGCATAAGACGGGGAAAAACAAAAAAAATCAGAAAATTAAAAAAAAATCAATTTTAGGAAAAAAGAAAAAACCTGTCATTTAAAAAGCTTAAACGAAGCAATAATATCCAATAATCCAATAATAATAATTATTTTTTATATCTTAATAGAGCTGGGGTAGAATGGCTCAGTGGGTTGCTGCTCAATTCGAGCGGTGATGCTGAGTTTTTTATTCCACGCAGGAGTAAACTGTCCAAAAATCCGGGTGATGCTGGCAACTCGCCAACATTTCAAGGAACTCCCTGGCGATATTGTCTAGTGCGACAAGCCAGCGGAGCGAGTATTTCCAGAGGTGTGCCTATAAATATTTTTACAAAATTTCCAGTTTCCATTAGCGTTGTTATTTCGACCGAGATCTCAAGCATCACAGGTTCGATAAAAAGATACGAATAAAAACTAAATTACTAAAATTACAAAACTAAAATCGGCATGCTGCAAATCGGCATGATAATTTGCTAAAGTAGAATATGCAAAACGCGAATTTATTGGACGATAGTAAATTATGGTCCGCAAATTATTGAAAAAATTAGTGAGGAAGAAACCAATTATAATAACGGGCAAAAAGAAAAAAAGATAGACAAAACGAGCAAAAAGCAACCACGAGGGAATCACATGGCAACAAAAAAAAATCACTAGCACCACTGAACTTTTTAATAACAGTTAGTCTTGTCGGGGATATTGTTATTACAATCTGAGTTATCAATTCGGCTAGCATGACCCAAATTATGTATTGTAATATTCTCTATGTAAATAGAAATGGATAAATTTCATTTTCAGTAGACTCTTTCTCATTCTCAATTTTTTTTTTTTAAGAGTCCTCACCATTACTGGTTAAGCTCGCTCCGCTGGCTTGTCACACTGGACATGCCGGGAAATCTCTTGGCGATAGAAGTACAGGTAAGTCAGCCGCCATCACCCGGATTTTTGGACAGGTTTACTCCAAACTGAGCAACAACCCACTGAGCCATTCTATCCCCACCTATCCCCACCATTCTCTTTACATAGCACTTTCATTTGTTTTATTTATTTCTTTTTGCTTGTAATTTCCATCTCATTTAGGGTTTTCTAGGAACTGGAAACTAAAGATCATTGCCTAGATTATTATTTCAGGTCCCGTGATCCCGGCCTCTCCCCACTCCCCTCCCCCTCTGCCGCTTCCGATAGGATAAATACTTGGGCTTTGCTAGGACTTACTTCCTTCCTGTCATTTCAAATCTCAACCTACGAATTTAAAGAGAAGCCAACCCAACGAGAAATGGGACTACAAACCATTCATTTGTTGTTGCTAACACCAGCGTATGTCTATTGGTTTATTCATAAATTAATAAGTAAAAGGTAAAATATTATCGAGAAAAAGTCTCCCCTATGCGAGGTCGAATCTCCAATCGATGGTGTTGTTTAACGCATTCGCAGCGAAATTAAATATTAAAATTAACGGAGTGAAAAGAGTTAGAGGAATTATAACGAACTGTGGAGGATTTTACGGGAAAAGGAAAGCGATATCTGAGGAAATAGGCGAGTAGCACCCTTTTGAAAATTTTGTGCGTCCTAGAACGAATGTCATGAATGTTCGATTCACATGGCTTACTGCCAATGGGAAATTTGGGATTTCGATTATTGGGTGGTTTAGATTATCGTACATATTATTAGGAAAAGTGGTTAAGGGGATGGGCTAAGGAGCGGTGGAGATGGGTGGTATGGGTTGACGCTTAAAATAAGCTCGAAGAGGTCTAAGTTTGTGTGTGGTGGGGAGTCGCGAGAAGGTTCTTGGCCTTCCCTCGCCTTTTTGCTGAAAATTAAATTTCCTTTTCCTTTCACTCTTTCGCAAATTCATTTAAAATTTGGACTCTTAGTGAAGAAAAAGGGATTAAATCTATTAAGAGTACCTATGACAAAAGATTTATGAAGTGAAGTGGAAGGGTGGAAGGGTTTTTCAAATAAATACTTATTCTAAAATAATTTGCAAAAATGCATAATAATAGGACTTAATTAAGCATTCATAATATTAAAAAATTTGAAGGCGTAGCAGTTCTTCTCCTTCTCCTATTTAAGGCTGTTTAATTCTCCTGGCTGTAGCTGCATAAGACCACCAACTTTCATTATAAATTTCAAAAAAATTAATTATGTATCGCGGAAGTGTTGCGGGTACTTAAAGAGAATTATAGGGATTTAGTGGGTGTGAAAATAATGCATATAGGGGATTCAAAAGTGCTAAGGAAATATGGCAAGTTTTTGCAAAATATTAATGATTCCAAGGCTCGAAACTCTATAGAAGGGAAGTATTTTTCCTAACATCAAAATAGAAAGAAAACAGTGCTTTGAATTTTGAAGAACCTTCAAGAATCACTCGAAAAAAAAATATATGAATAAGTGAAGCTCCTTATCACCAAATAATTCATTTTCTTTTAATTAGTTTCCAAACTGTTCTTTTAAAATTTTATCAGTTATATCAGTAGTTTTTTACAATATTTTGCAATGTTTTTTTTTTAAAATTTAAGTCCAATTTCTTTAATTTCTCGCTTTCTTTAATTATTTTCCGCTAAAAAAACGAATTTTTTATTGGTTTTGTTTGATTATTGCTTATTTCTTTTTCATCTTTTTTTTTCATAGGAATAAGCATTTACCATTACTGATTAAATTCGCTCCACTCGTTTCAAAATACAATACAATCAAAATAAATATCTATTAATTAGTTTTACCTTATAAAAACACGAAGAACAAATCAATGCCTGAACTGATATAATTAGAAAAGATTTTGAAAGCACAGATGGACTATCGATGAATTCAGTCGATGGAAAAAGGAATGATTTTTATTACTGTCAGCGGTGTCATCAGATTGAACAACTTGGAAATGTCTTTGTAGATTTGTCGCTAAGCAAATGGGCAAATGTGCCAGGGAGCTCTTTAGCGATATAGATGAGTCACCAGCATCATCCGCATTGCTGGATGGATTTACCCCTGCAGGGAATAAAACTTCAGTGTCGGCACTGGGCGCTTCGAATTGGGCAACAACCCATTGAACTTTTCATGGGCGACGCTGCAGTCCAGTAAAAAATGATATATATCGACGGATTCGAACCTAAGTCTCGATTGCCGTTAGCATTTATCTTGCCACTTATTGTCGTTATTATTATATTATACAATATAAGTTTAGACGTTGGAAAGAGGAATTATTTTTAAATACGCATTGGAGCTGGTTGCTTGAAGCCTCTAGCCTATATAACCAATGGAGCCAGCCTAAAAAGTAGTAGAGCGTGGTGTTGGAAGAACAGCAAGTTTAGTAAACTATTAAGATACGCTATTCTTATTCGATGGTATTATTACCATTTGAAATCACTGAGAAAGGGAAATCCTTTGTGTCGAATTGGAACAAAGAAGGAAATAGTGAAATAAGGGAAAAGAAAAAAGAAGGAAGAATTTAAAAAAATTGGACTTAATTTTAAAGAAGTCGTTGTAAAAAAATATCAATCTTTTTAGAATTTTCTATGAGAGTTATGCATGGTTATGAGAGTTATAAGTTTTTCCACCTTTAGTTTTCAATTTCTTGAACACATTGTTTTGGAATTAGGCATTTTATGATCTTCACTTCATAAATTTTTATTCATCTTCAATTTTTGAGTTTTTTTTACAGCAGCAGCGAAATGGTGCGCATGAACGTTTTAGCAGATGCCCTTAGAACAATAAACAATGCAGAGAAACGTGGGAAACGTCAAGTTCTTATTCGTCCATGTTCTAAAGTAAATTTGTTTTTTTTTTTAAATCTTTTTACTAGGTTTATTGCCATTGTTTTTGATGAATGATGGAATGTTCGAAAGCAATATTTTCAAATTTCACGTTTAAATTTGTGTATGTTTTGACTTAATAAGAAATATTATAGGTAATTGTTCGTTTTTTAACTGTGATGATGAAAGCAGGCTATATTGGTGAATTCGAAATTGTTGATGATCATCGTAGCGGCAAAATTGTGGTGAATTTGACCGGCAGAATAAATAAATGCTCTGTTATTAGTCCAAGATTTGATATTTCTTTACGTGATTTGGAAAAGTGGACATCAAATCTTCTGCCATCTCGTCAATTTGGGTGAAGTTTTTAAAATATTTTTGAATTAGAAATTTTTCAAGGTAAAGGCACTTTTCAATTTCTTGTGAAATTCCGTGGAATTTAAAGTTCGAGATTAAACCTGTGTTAATGAAATTTAGCTTATGAAAATTTCTGAAAAATCTGCAAAATTTCACGAATAATAATGATTTCATGAATGAATTCTTTTTAGGCACCTTGTTCTTTCAACATCTGGAGGAATTATGGATCACGAAGAGGCACGTAGGAAACATTTAGGTGGCAAAATTCTTGGATTTTTTTTTTAAATTATCATTGACGTATTTTCGTTTTGTTTGCCGGATGATAAGATAAAAAAAGTAGAAAATGAATGATTTGTCGCATTTTACATGTGTTATTTTTAAATCCGAGTGAAAATTTACTTATCAGAGACAAGGAGATTATTTTAATCGTAAGGACCTTGGGTTAGAAGAGAATTGGAGCCAGCTTGAGATTTTTTTGAGAAAATATTGTTTTTTTCATATTTCTAATTTTCTAATAATCTTGAGTAGTAATCATCATCATAATCTTGAGTACTTTTATGGGACAACTATTTGGTTTTAATTTCATTTAAAATTTAATTTCATTTAGTTTCATTTAAAAAATAATTAATGATGATAAATTTTTTATCAGTATCGGAAACTTTATGGGGAACTGGTTGGGAATTTTGGTCCAATAAATCATATTTAATTGTGATTTCTGGTTGTTTCATGACACATTGGTGAATTTCATGGCATATGGCATATAATTTAATAATTGAAGATCATAAAACTGGTGAGATAGATAATTCTAAAATAGTGGTCGAGTACTCCGAATTCTAATGAGTTATTCGATTTCGGGATTTACGGATTTTTTTTTAAACGAAATTTAATAAACCTTTATCATAAAAGATTTATATCATGAGAATTATCCAAAAATAATTTTTGACCGATCTTATTTAAACTATGGTTGTTCAGTTATCGACGTCATCTTCATTTTTCTATGTATTTCAAATGAGATTCATTAGGTTTTTCTATTCATCGTAGTTGAACAGTCAACTTTCGTTGGAACATTTCGCTGTCCAAGAGAATATTTAAGTGGATCAATTATGAGTACTGTGAAAATCAACGGATTCGTGTGGATAAATTCGAATTTGAATTCATCTGCATTGTTTTTAGAGAGCTCGCATTTTCAGTGGGGAGATCGTTTGGCCGAAAACATTCGGCAGTAGAAGTAAGGGTGTTAGGAGCATAATCCGTGCTTAACCTTTCGCATTTAGTGATGGGCTTACTTCTAAAGCAAGAGGAATTCTAGAATGAGACGAGAGTGCTGCGTTCTGCTTGATGCATTCTTGAAGATGGATTATTATTAGTCTTATTCTTTAAAAGATAAATAATAATTACCATGTTCAAAGTGTAAAACTTTTTTATTAACAATATTTCATATGGTTTTGACGTCAGTCCAGCAATAATTTTGGGATATTTATCAAAAGGTTTATGTACATAAATTAAAAATGTTATTGGGAATTACTCGTTTTTTCTTTCCATTCCAGTGATTTTTTACAAGCACATGATGAATTTGCAAATCAATTATTTAGAGCTGATTAATTATACGTTGATAAAATATCATTTTTGTTGTTGTTGCGAAGAAAAGAACCACCTTAAAGAAAGCATCGTAATTTTGGTCGCTTGGTGGGAACGAATCTGGAAAAGGTCATTGAAAGTGAAGCGGGGTGCTACTGAGGTGCTTGTGGAAAAGAAACGTCTGAATTTCCACTAGGGTTCCTTTAAAAGAAGAGAAGTAATGAACGAATTAAGGTTATTATATCTTCTACAGGATTCAGTGTTGGAGTGAATGGTATCGCAGCCAAGTTTTTCCAGTTTTCAAATGTCCGTTGATGCAATCGTCGTTTCGTAATTCGCTGTTTTTATAAATTCCAACAGAAAATTATTGTTTACATAAACCGCCAATAGCTATCACATGTTTTCTCTTTTACAGAATTACAATTTGCGGTCGAGGAGGTCGCCGTTTTGACATATTCATTGCCGTTGTTTGAGCCTCTGTATTTCGTCTTTGGGTCTATAGATTGCAGGCTTTGGCGGAGATAATGATCCTTGAAAAGCTGAGAAACATTCAGCTGAAAACTGAAATCACTTGAAGCATGTGGTTTATTTATTTTTTAAAAGGCCCAATTAGGAATTATGCGATGAGTAAACCAGTGGGAGAATTTCGTTGTCACGTTTATACTATTTTTCGCTATATTTTTGACGAAAAGTTTTCATCTACGAAGCTTTCTTCATTATTCATTTTATTCAAGTTTTTAATTTTTTTAAAACGATTCAACCGTTTAATAAAAATTCTTTGTTTCGTAAAATGATGCCGAAAGTTGTCGACTATGCGAATTCGTTCACAGCGACAGTGACTAATTCACTCACTAAAACGGATGATAGTCGTCCATTTGCAACGAACATTCAAAGTGCGTAGCACTATGGACGATGACAATTTGATTTTCTCATAATTGAAGCAATTAGAATTTTAATGAGATTAGCGAAATTTTTTATTTAATTTGATACTAAATTTCAATTATCAGTTTATCACTTTTACTTCGAAGATAAATAATTATTTTGGATGATTTATCGTACAATCGGTTGGATATTTTGTCTAATTTTTCCTTATTGCATCTTCCGCTCATCTAAGAAAAAAATTAGTCCAAGAAAACTGTAATTTTGAATATTTGCCTTAATAGTTGCTATAATTCTTAGATAACAATATGAAACTGTAGTGAAAATCTTCTAGCAGCTTTCACCATTGCTGGTTAGGTTGGTCGTTGGATAAGGGTAAGCCGTCTCCAAGCTGCGACATCTGATGCCATAATCATTACTTTTTCCATCGACTAAGTCCAAATATTGCTGGTCATATAAAATATGTTCCATTCTTGCGGTGGGCGACGAAGAACGTGTTCTACTTAACCAGCGAAGGCGACGCTTTGTGATGGTACTGTTCATGCAAGTGGTATCTGAACGAAGGTGAATGTAATCATGTGGGATTTTATCCACTCGGCGAACCCGTAAAATGGGCTTTAGATATGAGTAGATAACTTTTTAATATCCTCCACTTTCAATGGCCAGGTCTTGCAAGCATATAGCAAGACAGAGCGAACTGCAACTACATTGACTCGGATACTTTCGTTTTTATACATTTCACGACAAGTTCATAAAGATTTCATCAGCTGAATTTCTGGCTACTATTATCTGAGTTGTAATTTTGTTTTTCGCTTATCCATGTTTTATTTACATTGATCCTGAGTTCAATTCTCGCTGCAGTTGCGACACATTGTTTAGCATTATTTGCATTCATCACAATTGCTAGCAAAATCGCACGAAGCAAATAAAATCAAAATAAACCCTCGTTAAGCTTGAAAATTACGCTGGGAACAGTTTTCATTATTAGTTTATCCATATTAATCAATTTTTAAAGAATTACTCCGTTCGATGAATCCTAATAAATCAATTCATCTAAAAAAAAATTGAGAGCACAAGTTGATCGAACTGCATAAGCTGCTTCGACTGAGATTGATAATTCGGTTCGTTCGATTCTTTTGACGAAGATAAAGCGTTGACTGAAATTGGAGTCGAGTTGGTAACCAGGGACACCCTCAGGTGGCGCTGAGACGAAGCTCTCACAATTCATACAGCCCGTGGAGCAGCTAGACGACAAAGGACGGCTGCTCTAATAATAATAATAATCGAATGTTATCATCGAATGTTTGGCTGAAATTTATCGCTAATCAAAATCTGACTACTGTTGTTTCTTCGCGCATTACAAATTTATTTCTTAGTATTTAAAATTTTTTCGTAATTTTGTTTTGAAATTTTTCGAATTGCAATACAATTAAAAGTGATCACAGAAAATGGTTTGATCGAATTTATCGATATCGATTTCAATAAATATGATTAATATTTAACGAATTTATCACTTCGTTCTTTTCTCATTACGATTTGTCTGTTGACGAACGTTTATGATGGATGGTTGCTGTCGATATTTGGTGACACCATATTAGTCGATGCCATTTGCGCATATACAAATCGGGAAACTTCCAATGCATACTTATTACTATGAAACCATGAAAGTCGGACGGCTTCTATGGTTTTACTGAAATAAGATGCCAGTGGTCGGATGCCGTTGCGGACCCACTTTCATTCCATTCCGTTCAAGTGATTTTTGACGAAAAAGAAAACCTTCGCCCATTTTGGCAATCAGTGGAAGCAGCTAAATCAGAAACGGCAGTTGCCGAAGATGACAATAGATGCGATGCATTAACAAATTTTAAGGGTGCTTCTTATGAATGCATGCCATTTCGAAAAATTGTCTTCACGATAAGAAATTGACTTCGTAGAGATTCTAAGAAGTCGAACCAGCAAAAAATTTCCTAATAATTATCGTTATCGGTCAGCTGTGCGCAGATATCATAAATATGATGGATTCTATGTCAGTAAACTGGTGCTGCTACGCGAACGTGCACATTTACGAGATTATTCAGCTGTAAGGTTTGTAAATTTAAATAATTCGGTTTTATAAGGAAAACGTGGAAACAGTGAGAAATGCGATTTATCAGCATTAACTGGTTTTATGAAAACATTTGTTCTGTCGACGAATGACTTTTATTTTATTTTACTTCCGGTGTAATTTTCACTATAGAAAAAACTGAAAAAGAGCATTTCCTTTATTTTATTTTTCACTTTTAAATTTGTTTTTCATTTCAGTAAAAATTCAGTAAAATTTTCAAAGTTTTTCAGTAAAAATTGCAAAATTCAATAAATTATTTTAAGCGAATTTTCCTTTTATGTTTTTCATCATTTTTTGTTAGTTTTTAAAAAATTTTTTCGATTTTCATATTTTTCATATTTTCGCTTCTTTTTATTATTCAAATAATATTTCAAATTTTGTATTTTCTCGGCTAAAACGCGAAATTGTTGTTTTTTTGTTCTCTAATTTCGTAATAATGAGGTTTATTTTCATTCTCGTATTGTGGCTGAATGGTTCCTCCAAATAATATTTGGTGGTTAATAAATTTTCTATGAAACTACGAATTCTCTTGAGATTCTGGTGAAAATCACAAATTCCTTTGAGAGTCTCGTAAAGTCTATGGATTTCCTTGAGAGTTTCACGAGAGATGCAGAAGCAGCTGTAGGTGGCGGGTTGGTGGCTTCCGTTAATTTCAGATGTCATCGGGTCGAGAGGGAAAGAACAAGAACTCTGGAGCGAAGCTGGCCTAACCAGTATTGATGAGAGTTGGAAGAAGAGGGATTCTACGGATTCTTTTCCAGAACTCTCTTAACTTATTAGTAAAAATTTATTGATAATAGGTCTTAAATAAGTTATTAATTAAAATATTAATTAAAATAATCGGTGATTATCGCTTACCATTTCTGATTGAATTCACTTTACTGTCTATTATGATGCGGTTCTTTTTCTGGAGGATAAATTATAAGTCAGAGACATACATATATAAGTTATTTGCTTTTGAGATAATTTATATCGACTTATCGATTTTGTTTTTATTTCCTTATGTTTGATTTCCATTTTTTTGAAAAGTTATTTTTTTCCAGAATTTTTAGACATTATAAAATACGAAAATTAAAATGAAATTTTCCCATAAATTTTCCAGATTCCTCTAAGACGAAATTATTGAAATCCATTTTGGTTTTTTTTTTTATAATTATTCACATCATCTTTAAAATTTAAAATTGGCTTTCCAAATTATATCATTTATTTCAAATTATATCATTTATTTGTCCATCATAAACGATAATCGGAAAATATTAGAAATTAAGAAAAGTTGTATATTTTTGGTTTTTTTAATGGAAATTTTTTCTTTTGCCTTGATATAAATTTTACTATTATGGAAATGTTTTTTTGTTCACTCGTTGTTTGTCTTTTCCGTTTTTTAATTTTGAAATTCACCTTTTTATATTTTTAATCGTATTATTCTATTCATTTTTTATTTGTTTAATGGTTTTAAATTTCGACTTTATTAGAAACATTCTTTGTTTTCTCGTTATTTTTCATGCTTATTAGACGATTCTAGTTAAAACAGATAGGAATGTTTCCGGCTGTCCCAATGTTTATTAGAGTTCCGCCTCCATGTTTTTGAATCCTTTGAACATTTATTTTTTTAGGACAATTGTTTTGTTTTTCCAGGTTACTATTGAGTATTGACAATAGCCTAACGCGATGAATGGTTTGGCAACATTTCTTAACAAAATACAAGGATTTGTTGGTGGCAGCTCTGGTTCATCTACTTTAAACCATCATAATTTACGTGCAGGTCCATCCATTGCTGGACCATCTTGTTTCATTCAGGCATCTGTAAAGCAGTCATATGTCAGTTTTTCTCTTCATTATTTTTGGATGTTATTACTTTACTTATCATTTACGCTAAAGGATAATTTAATTTGAATAAAATTTGATAATTCAATTACACTAAAGGATCATTATATATTTAGAAATTTTAACGATTTTCGTTCTCTATTATCTTTTTTTGATCTTTTTTTATTTTCTTGATTGGTTTTTCTCGATCTTTTTTTGATTACTTCTTTTGTTATTTAAGGATCGTCGAATATTAGATAAAATCTATAAATCAATGGATAACATCGTTAAATTTTGCCAGCAACCGAGGTTAAACTTGAAAAATTCTCCACCATTTATTTTGGATATATTACCTGATACATTTCAAACACTGTCAACGATTATTGCTCGAGATTCGAATTGTTTAAAGGAGAACTATTATTTGCAACTTTTTGTCGAAAATCTTCACTTAAAATGTAAACAGGTTTGTTTTTCCATTAATTCATCTTTTAAAATTGATTTTATTAGATTTTTTGAGATTTTTGATTAGAATTTTTTTGAAATTATTGAAAAAAAACTATTAATATCATACAAACGACATGATTTTTCCACGATTTTTTATTTATTATCTTGATTGTTGCTTTTTTATTCGGAAACTAGTTGTTTTTTGCTTGAGATTTTCTGTGATAATTTCAATATCAATATTTAAACGATAAATCATTCTGTATCTTAAAATAGTGCAGGAAATAGTAGTGTTAGGAAACAAACATTTGAATCATTCGTTTGACACTTCTGTATTGATGATGTGAATCGGCGCTTTTTATCAGAATATAGCAATTCATTAAGAATCTGATAAAGAATTTAAGAAAAAAAAAGATAAAAAAAGAAAAAAGTAAATGAAATTCATTAAAAGGTTCACATTAGAAAATCAAAAAATGCAATGTCGATGAAAATCATTTCGCTTTTAAGGATTATTTTTTTTCTTTCTTAAAGAAATTGGCATTAAGTATTCGATTGAATGGACTAATAGGCACTTTTTTGGAGTTAGCATGGATGACATTTTTCAAGGCGAAAAGGCATATTTTGTTTTTGAATGCGGAATTGTTTTTAAAAGACAATAAATCGGCAAAATTTGTAGCCTTATTTCATTAAAATTTATTGTTTTTTCTCTATCTTATATTAAGTTTTATGTGAATATCTATAGGCGATATATTTTGTTTTTTAGACGTTGAAACTTTTTAAAGAGGATCGTGAACGAATTTTCGATGAAGGTTCATCGTCCAGAAGGAATTTAACAAAGCTTTCACTTATATTTTCACACATGCTTGCTGAATTAAAAGCTGAATTTCCTGATGGAATCTTTATTGGCGAAAATTTTCGAATTACTAAAAAAGAGGCAGATGCTTTTTGGAAGGAATCCTTTGGAAATAAGTAAATTTTGCTTATTAGCCTAATATAATAGTTCTTTTTTTAATTTATTAACTTATTTAATATATGTCTTTCCTTTTATTTTTTTTAAATTTATTTGCGAAGTTTGAAATTTTCTGTTGAATCTCATTTGGTTTTACTTGAAATAAATGAAATAAAATATTATCATTTTATCATTTGCAGAACTACGGTCCACTGGTTGGAATTTCGTGCAGCATTAAATAAAGTACACAAATTGAATACGGGTCTCGAAACACTTGCCCTTAAATCAACGATTGATCTCACTATGAACGAACATATTTCGAATTTCGAATTTGATGTTTTTACTAGGTTTACATCGCTTCAAATTTAAAAATATCTTTTGTTTATAAATTATAATTATAAACTATGATTTTAGATTTTAGACGATTTTTTCTAAATTTTAGTACACATATAATTTTTCAATTTTTTTGTCAGCCTTTTATGAAGTTATGAGTTAAGAGATTTACTTTTTTTTCCTTTAATGTATGAAAAAAATCTCTTTCTTACTCTTTGTGGATGGTAAGGGTCATCCTCAACTTTGCATTCTCTGCCAGCGGCCTGGAAGATTGAGGATTCTGCACAATATCTTAGCTATTTCTAGTAATATACTATTCTAGTTTGAATTCTGGTAAATTGTTCCTGAAATCTTCTGAAGCTATTTTTCTAGTTTAGGAGTCACAGTTCTAAATGCTCAAATTATCAGTGCTGGAATTACTTTAGCCTTTACTTTCCGCATCTCTTGTTCCTTTCCCAACCGCTGGAATTTCTCTAACTTCTCATATTCCTCTTTTTTCTATTGTAGACAGATTGGACGAGTTATTTTTTCATTTATTTGATATTCCTATATCTATCTATCACCAATATTGGTTTCCGATTCTTGTATACTACCACTATATGCGGATCGGCCAATCTGTTTGGATGAAGAAGCTCCACAGGATCTTCACCTTATTGTTCTCTACTATTTTCTGAGGAATCTCCCATCTATTAGTCTTGGGGGTCTAAATCATATATTGAGCAGATATGCCTTTCAGTTTTTGTTAGTGTGTTTCTGGGGTATTTTTGCACAATCTAGAATACTGTCTAGTGTGGTAGATTTCTTCTTCAGTGGATCTGATATTTAGTACCTGCTCTTGTTCAATGCCTTAATTTTGCCTTTCAGTCCAGCTTTTTCCAGCTACTGCTAGGATTTTACAGTGTCAGCTGCCTCAGCTATCTGTCAATGGTAAAATGGTCATGGAGAATATTGCTTTGCCATGACATTTCCTCTGTTTAATTTTTTTCTTGTTTTTTACTGTATCAGTTGCATAGCTGATGACTAGCAGAGCGTACTTCATGCATGATATGGATTTTGTTCTTCTTATTGAACTGGCTTGTATTGCATAAATGTTGCAATCTTTTGCAATCTTCCTCGCCTCATCATGGATGCTATATGACTGTGAGATACCAAGGTATTTTAGCTGGCTTGTATATATATATCCATATATATATATATATATATCCTGATGCGAAGTCCACTCCATCATTCATACTACTTTTGCCCTTTTTACTACCATACGGCCACATTTCCCTAACCCGAATGACCATTGTCCTTTCTGTAGATCCCTGTTAAATGGATGAGTGAGTCAAAGCGACTCGTTCATTTTTTATATATAAATTGATGTTATTTATGTTGAGATGGCTGATGCTAGCCCCGCTCTTGAACTTGTATTTATATCTGGTGATTATCTGATTGCGAGTTTTTTCACCTATGAAGAACAATAGGATAGACGATACATATAGCCTTGGTATATGCCGCACTTAATAGCTACCTGTGAAAGCTATTTCGAATTGATTTTAAGTGTCGTTTTCTACAGTCCCACTGAGTTCTCAATGAAATTTTTTAGGATCCTGTTGAGGCAGACCCTTCTTTCTGTAGAGCCAGATATTCAAGATCTATGTGTGGGCATTGACTCATAGATTTTTCTATAGTCAACTGCATAGCTTGTTGGTATTTTAAATTTTAAAACTTGGGCGATTGCCTTATCTATGAACAGCTAGTGTTTGGAGCCTTTGGTGTTGTTTCCAATGCTTTTTTTGAATTGTACTCATCTACTGGCTTATGTGGTCATGAAAGTCGATGGGTATGATGCCTGACAAGATTTTCCACATTGTGGAGAGGCAGATCATTGGCTAGTTGTAGGACAGTGGGATAGTGTTTTTTATGAGAGTCTTTCAATCTGGGTGCGACTCTGCCCACAAGCAGCTGGTTTATCTGTGTTGCTAGGCACTCATGAACTTTTTTAGCCAGTAGATGTGGATCGCGTCCGAACCAGGCGCTCTCCAACTTTATATATTTATATAAGTACACATTTTTGAGTCGCTATTGGATGTTAGCGATTATAATTATTGTCGCTACGGAAAATCTCTGTGACTTGTTTTCAGTCGTGTTGCAGCCGCTTTGTATTGGTGCTTTGAATCTTTTTTTCTTCTTTTTTTCCTATACATTTTTCCAGTATTGTATAGTTTCTGCTATTGGTGGGCTCTGTTGTTACCGTATTGAAGAAGCTAAGAGTATACCTTGAATGGTTCTTTGGAGAACAGTGCATTTATCTTTTTAGCTTCTTTAATGTATACCTTAGTCTCATGGCCAGTGGTGTGAGCCTTTGTTTAGCAATTTCGAGAACTTTTAGTGGAGTATGACCCTTTTATTTTTCCAGCATCCGAGTATATTTTTTTCTTTACCATTCTTTACCCTTTCTGTAATTCTGTCAGCTGGCCTTCACGTTGTGCTCTGATCTTAGCCTCCTTTTTCAGGGGTGAAATTGTGTATAATTATGTATATTGTTATAATTATATATATTTAAATTTTTTTTCACACATTACTTTGTATTTTCTTTATGTAATTTTATCAGGCTTTTTCAACCGTGGTGTACATTGCTTCGTAATTGGCAAATTCTGGCTGTCACACATCCTGGCTATGTTGCATTCCTGACATATGATGAAGTTAAACAGAAATTGCAAAAATATTGTAATAAGCCGGGCAGGTAATAAAATACGAATTTTTTGCCTGTTTTTGCTTTTAACCAAAAAAATGAATTCATCAGTTTTTTCGTTTTATTTAATTCAATTTCTTTATTTCTATTCTATTCAATTTAATTTGAATTACTAACTTATCATTATTATAGCTATGTTTTTCGCCTTAGTTGTACTCGATTAGGCCAATGGGCAATTGGTTACGTAGCACCTGATGGGAAAATCTATCAGACTATTCCGCAGAATAAATCTTTGATACAAGCATTGGTAGATGGTAGTCGGGAAGGATTGTAAGTTAAATATGTCTTTTGATTTTCTTTGGCTATTTGATTGTGTTTCATAATGATGTATATTTTCAATTATTGCAGTTATCGTTTCCCTGATGGAAGACCCATTAATCCTGATTTAACACATGCTTTACAACCAACTCCTGAAGGCCATTTGCAAGTATGTTGACTTTTTCTGACTTTTTTTAATTCTCACTTATTTTTTTACTTTTCATTTTTTTCGTTGTAATACATTCATATTAATCATTTGTGTATTTTTTATTATTGCGATATAGTAACCTTTATTCCTAAAGTTTACAGTTTTATCTAAAAGTATATTTCCAGGTAACTCCTGAGCAGTATCAGATTTATTGTGAAATGGGAACGACATTTGAAATGTGTAAAATTTGCGCTGAAAATAATAAAAATGTAAAACTAGAGCCATGTGGTCATCTTTTATGCACACCTTGTCTTCAAAGCTGGCAGGTTTGTTTTTTCATTTAACTTGTTAATTTCTTAACGTCATAAACATCAGTTATATCTGCAGCTTGCTGAGCTATGTGACAAGTCATTGGAAGTCGATTTAATGATTTAATATAATTGAAAATAACTTCTTTATTTAAAATATTCTATGGATGACATAGGTTTTTTAAAATACTTTAAATTTTAAGTTGGAGCATTTTCACATAAGTGTTTTAAGGAATCGGATGGTGGAAGCACTTGTCCATTCTGTCGATGTGAAATAAAAGGAACAGAAAAAGTAATCATAGAATCGTTCCATCCAACTAAAAAAAGAGTAGTTGCGAAATCAAAAGGTGGTTTTGGACTGATGGAAAACGTAGATTTTTTTCTTTTTTACAGTTTTCTTAATTATCTTTTTTGTTTCTGTCTTTGCTATTGTTCCTCATTTATTTATTTCTTTGTATTTATTTCTTTGTCAACAAATACACTCAAATAAAATCAACAATTTGTTAAAAAATCAACAAATTATTCAATTTATTAAAAATTGTTAAAAATTTTTTTTTAGCGGTTGACCTGGCCTCCAAGGACTGAAGGAGGACCTCCAAAGTTAGCACCACCTCCTTTACCACCTCGACGATCTTCTCCTGCGAACAGTGTTACTCAAGAAACAACACACAGAAAAGATCCTTTGGATTTATTTGAGCAGAACATTTCTCCCTCAAAAGTACTTTTTTCTTTAAGTTTTGGGTTTTCTTTATTTTTCATTCCTTAAAAATATGTTAAAATCTATTGTTTTATTTGTTCATGAATACTTTTTCTGACTTTTTATAATTCTCACTTATTTTTTTACTAAATTTCGCTAAAATTGTGTCTGCTTCAATCTTTTATCTTTAGAAAGCTCAGTCGTTTTCTTCGGATAATGTGAGCCAGCTTGGCATGTCACTTAATTCATCTGGACCATTATATGTCAATATCGATAATATTTCCGATACATGTGACCTGCAATATGTTAATACAGCTACATTTTTGTCATAATTCATGGTCATAATAAATTGCATGTCGATATCATTTTAAGCTTAATCATCCATTTAATGAATAAGGTTCTCCATTTATTTCTGACTTTTTTAAATTGAAATAATTCAAATTTTTTAGGTTTTTCTATAAAACTTGGATTAATGGCATCATCATTTTGAATATTTATTAATAATAACTAGTTATTTTATTTTTTTATTAATTTATAGATTATATTAGAATTAAAGAATTAAAGAATTAAAGTTTTATATAAAGATCATCCGAATTTGGTTTATTAGGTTTATAAATAATTTTATTGATTTCTTTGATTTCTGATAAAGATTTTTAAGGCTTTCGTCATTAAGATTGATATTTTCGCTTTAAGGAGTGAATAATTGCTAGGACTATTTCATTACTATTTCCACTATTTCCCTTATTCCTTCTCATTTATCTTGTATTTCTTTGTAAACTCGATTTTACAATTTTCTTCTAGTCATTTATTGTCCTTTTTTTCGTATTTTTCATATTATTATTTTTTCATATTTTTCATTGTGTTTGCCTGTAAAATATAGTTTATATAGTTGTTTAATGAAATGTCTAATTTTATATTTAATGAAATGTCTAATTTTAAATATCTAATAGGTAAACAGAAAAGGAAAGCAATACATTTGGCCTTCCGCTTACTTTATTTGGTTTGAAATTCGTTTATTTTTTATTTATTCATATTGCTTTTATTCCTCGTGCCTATATCTTCTAATGTTTTTTTGTGTGGATTCCACTGTATTTTCTGATTTTTTTCAATGTAAACTATTTTTTCAATATTTTTTCACGCTTCAATCCAGGATTTACAGTTTCTTAAATTCAAAAAACAACTGGATGAACGCTTACATATCAAAATGGTTTTTTTTGCCCATTTTTGATTTTTATTTGCACCTGTTTTTGCTCACTTCTAATTTTTCTTACGCACATCTAAATGATTCGTTTTTTCTTTCCTATAACTCCGAATATTCTGCTTTTTTAGTCTTCTTTAATGGGCCAAGTATTTATTTATTTCTTTTTTAAGCCAATTATTTATTTCTTGTCTATATATGATGATAAATTCTATTATTGAATATCTATGCTTTCAAGGCTCATAATAAATTCTCATTCACTTGTGTTGTGCGTCTTTCCTGTGCATTCGATAGATGTATCATTTATTTGCAAAAAAAATTTTTTGAAATCACTTGAAATCGTTAAATTTTATGAAAATAGAATGAAAAAACGATCCAATGTGCTTTCTTCATTTTTCATTGAGACATTTTCTAATTTTGTCGATAAAATTTTAAAAAGTGTTGCTTTTAAGGATGAAATTTTCTTGAAAAATCGGATTTTAAAATCGAACAATGGGAAAAAGATATCACAAAATTTTTCCTAAACACTAAGGGAGCCTAATGGAGAAAATTTTTTAAAAGAAAATTGACGATCCGTATTAAATTTTGTTTAGTATTATTTAGTATATTCGCATCAAAACTGTTAATTTAACATTGGCAACATTGACAAAATACGGTTATTTGTGCCTATAAGACTTCAATGGTAGTAGAATAATTCAGTAGATTAAAAATTCGAATAAAATACAGTTAATTCATGAGCTATTTAATGCTACAATAGATTTAAAAAGAAAAGAAAAGGTGGTTGAAGACAGATAATTCTTCTTCTAACAGCTACAAAGATAAGACGCTTCCAAGCGGCGCGATCTATGCCATCGTCGACACTAATAGAAGCTATTGCTTTTTCCATCGTCTAAGTCCATATATCGCTGATCCCCCTATATATTCAAAACCTTTTTTGATCGTATCAGTCCAGGTTTTAATTGGCCCACTTCGTTTTTGACGCCATCCATCACACGGTTTAGCAGGTAACGAAATATGCGACAACTCTTGTGGTGGACGACGGAGTACGTGCCCTAACCACCGAAAGCAGCGCTCTGTCATAACATTAATGCAAGTGGTATATAAAGTGGTCAAAGGCGGATAACTTGATAATATCCTCCACTCTTATTGGCCATATCTCAGAGCCATATAGCAAGATTGAACGAATCACTACTATATAGATGCGCACTTTCGTTTTTATGGTGATTTCACGTAGGCTCCATAAAAGTTTCGTCAACCGGAAGAAGAACGGATTTTTATGGTTATTTGTGCTTATAAAATTTCAATGGTGATAGTATAGTTTAGGAGATTCTCACCTATCTTTGGACTAATTCTCTGTAAAAATATAATAATTTATTAAAATTCCACTGGGGCGTAATATTCGAATTCAACATTCCTTTGGACATATATGCATTGTTACTTTATTATTTACCAAATGAAGTTATAAAATTCCCAGCGCGAATAATTTTTCAAAATTTGGTAGTTCTCTATTCAAACAATTGCTGTAAGACGTTTTCAGTTTATAGATAGCTCTCATATTCCGCTCGAATGCCGTACCAAAATGTTTGCTTTGATGGTGTCCAAAATCTTTTTATTGAATATTTCATTTATTGATCCATAAAAAAGTGGTCCATGAAAAACCCAAAAACTCGTTAACCATCTGCATATTCTTAATTCTCTTCATGATTTCAAGTGCAGTCAAAGACGAGAGTTAAATTTTGGTTTCTCCAGTCTTTTCATATATTTTATATAAATTTCATAATAAAATGTTTCAATGTATTCGCCGAAATTTATCGCTATTTTTTTATTTTATTATGATTTTCACCAAAGTATTTCGCGAAATCTATAAGAACGAAAGTTATTTCTTTATCTTTTTTATTTTATTTTTTATTTTGTTTCAGTCTTTGTTGGTTGAACTTTGTTTCTTAGTGAAAAGAAGTTACTGAAAATCCATCCAACCCATTTTAATCGTTTTCTTTAAATTCGTTCGACTTATCCAGTCATTCATTCCTTTTTTCAACAAATAGTAGGAAAATTTTTCGTAGAATTGTGGAAATAAAAAATCGCCGTGAACCTGGAAAATTGTGGGTGTAATTATGAGTACATGGGGGTTTAATTTACGAATTTCAAAAGTTTAAAGCGAATAAAGCTTGTTGAAATTTTCGGACTCAAGGAAATGGTGTTCATTGTCCTTCACTGCTGATGCTCTGATGTGAAGAAAGAACTAATACGAGATGGCTGAAGCAAAATAATCCGGCTCACACTCCTAAAAAAGATAGGACAATTATGTCCTATTGTGACAATTATCTAAACCTGATAGACATTTCTACGAAAACTTTCGCTTTCCTTTTGCTGGATAGAATTATAGTAGGAAAATGTATGATTCACCCTTATCAAACTACATTCTGGTTGGAGTACGAATGCATTGACTAGATATACTATTTACGGAGAGAAGGCCTCAAATATCAGCAGTACATCGTGACAAGTTTACATGATTTTGCCACTGCCTTCGATTCATTTGAGCGTCATACTGATGGAGTGTTCCAAAAAAGATCATTCGATTTATAAAGGCATTTTACTAGCGTTGGCACAGGTAGTGTATATGGAGAACTGGAAGAATGTTTTGAAAGAAGAACTGCTCTTCATCAGGGCTATTCTTTCTCCTACAATATTCAAATATTGAACTATTCGATAAACAGCCAAAATATATACAAATTTAGTTAGCCTAAATAAATATTTAAATTTAGTTAGTCAAAGCCCAATGTTACAGGTCTCGAATGCGCTGATGTAGTCCTTTTTGCTGACAGTTGTAAAAAATTTGTAAGAGATACGGAACGATGTGACGAAATAAAAATCGAAGAATCACCTTAATTAGGCGAAAGTTCCTATACCAGACATAATACTTTTATCAATTATCAATTCATTACGACTTAAGGGCCAGATTTTAAATTAAAGTGGAGAGCATTGACAGTTTAAATATTCAATTTTAGGTATAACAAATATCCTTGATCACTTTTATCTAATATTTTACGCCAGCCGAGCGAATAAAGTAAATATATCAATTTATATGCCAATATCAATTTAATCACCCCATGGTTTTCTTAGGCGAAAATCTCTATGATAATTGTTGGCTATGACTGGTCACTATTCATTAATAGTGGTCAGTTACCTCTTTAGATTCAAATTAAAGTTTCCGATGCAATTTCATATATTTGGTAGTGAATTTGGCCTTATGGGTAAATTCTTTAGCTGCATAGATTAATTGTCGCTGCCGAGCAATTTACATTAATATTCCATTTGCTAAATTCTATACTGGATGGCATCGAAAGCGAGGAGGGCCAATAAAGACCTGGATTTATAGAATTAAGAAAGATTTTGGACAAATAGGTGACCCAATAATGTGTGGACTTAGATAATGAGAAAAGGAATGGTTTCTGTAAGCATTCTTTTTGCAGCATTCTTTTGATATAACATCGAATCGAGTTGCTTGGAAACTCTTTATTCCTTCAGCCAATTGGGCCAGTAATAGTGAAAGTTAGAAGAAAAATTTACTATAGTGATTTGGAAAGTGAAAAAAGAGTTCCCACAGAGGTACCAATTAGATAAGAATTAACTTACGACTTATTTTTTCAATTTTTTTTTTGCATTCACCAACAAATTATTTTAAACGATTTTGTAAAATCAAACGATTCCAAAATCACCCATTCTATCCGCTAATCAAGGAGTTCCAATGGTACATTGCTATATTATTTTTAAAACGGATACGTTAGTTTCATTGATAATTAGTTTCTTGGTGCATTTTTTCTTCAAATTGGAAGGAATTTTCTAATTTGAATAAAGGAAACAATTTATT